ATTTCCTACTACTCTGGAAAAAAATATCATAACTGTTACAAGATGGGAACAGGGGCAAGAAGCAGTAACTGCTTTGGAGATCCCTCTCCTTGTGGCCTCCCCAAACTGAGGCAGAACTATTGTCATTTATCATTGTCCTTGTGCTGTTATTTTACTCCCTCCCACTTCACTCACTCAAAGTGCCTGCCTGGTTCCAGTGTCCCCATTTGTGATTGTAACCCTTGTAGTTACTCGCTTATAGTCTCTCACACTTATTAAACTATGTATTTCTTGAGAACAAGGACTTCCTTCTCCTTCACCTTCCCTTCTTTTATACTTCCTCCTATCCAACCATAGTATATGAGGGTTGTCTAGAAAGCATCCTGCCACTGGTATATGAGAAATTATATTACCAGTGGCTGGATACTTTCCGGACAGCCCTTGTGTGTTTATCAACTCTTTTCCGAATTTGATAAGTTATCAATCAACAAAATAGGAAAAATGTGAATATCTAATTCATTATGAATGTTGCTCCTTAAGATGAAGCAACTGGTGACTCTGCTTCTTTACTATGTTTAAATTCACTTCAAAACTTAGTGATATCCTTTTTAACATCTAAGTCACAATTAAGCTCTTTTTGAGGGTAGAGTAACTGAGAGGCTAAGATGCAGAAGTTGAAGGAAGATATCATGTGTTGAAGGCCTACTACATATCAAGCACTGGTACTAGGCTAAATGATTAAAGGAAGGAAGGGCAAGCCTAGAAATAAAAGAGGTGGCTGGGAAGAAACCTGTGGTGGACCAGACAGGAAAAGCATTCCAGGACAGCCAGTAGGATTCCACAACAAGAAGTTAAAGCACAGGGTTGCCAGGTCATGGAGTGGTTACTCTGTGTAAATGTTGTGGAACACTTACAACATTTTTGGAAGTGGTGAACTGATGCCACCTGAAGAGTCTATATGGAAGGCCATGACCTTCCCTGTCCCCTAACCAGGGCCACTTATCTTTTTAAGCAAAGCAGTCCATTCAATTACATCTGCATTGAGAATGTCTCAGTAGATACCTGATGCTATCCTACTCCTTGAAGGAAAATAGATCATAAAGAAATGCGTCTCAAAAATCTCTGCTGTCAAAACAGATTTAAGACAAATTTGAAATTGGAAACAGATTTCATTTAAGAGTGTAATAAGCTTTAATTAAAGCAAAACCATGAATAATTTGGCCTAACAGTACTCTGTTGCTTGAGATGCTGTGCTGCAAAACTTTTTTTTGTTCTTTTGTTTTGTTTTGGAGACAGAGTCTTGCTCTGTTGCCCCAGCTAGAGTGCAGTGGCATCATCATAGTTCACTGCAACCTCAAACTCCTGGGCTCAGGTGATCCTCCTGTCTCAGCCTCCTGAGTAGCTGGGACTACAGGCACACACCACCATGCCCAGCTAATTTTCTCTGTTTTTGGTAAAGACAGAGTCTCACTCTTACTCAGGCTGGTCTCAAACTCCTGAACTCAAGCAACCCTCCCACCTTGGCCTCCCAGAGTGCTAGAATTACAGGTGTGAGCCACCATGCCTAGCCTATAAAACCTTTTTAAATTAAATTTTTTATTCAAGATAATTGTAGATTCATATACAGTTGAAAGATATTATACAAAAAGATTTCTTGTGCCATTTACCCAGTTTCCCCCAATGGTAACATCTTACAAAATTATAGTACAATATATCAAACAAGGATACTGATATTGATACAGCCTAGATACAGAATATTTCCATCATCACAAGAATCCCTCATGTTGGTATTTTATAGCCATATCCAATTCCCTTATGCTTCCTGCCCACTTCTTAAACCCTTGGCAACCATTAACCTATTCTCCATTTTTATAATTTTGGCATTTCAATAAAGTTATATAAATGGAATCATATAATATGTAAATTCTGGGACTGGTTACTGTTACCCAGGATAGTTCTCTGGAGATTCATCCTGCTGTAAAACCTTTTAATTGATGCCGATCATAAAACAAAATTAAAACCTAGTAAACAAAGACCTGGGGTTCTCTGATGACTCACATGAAAGTATAGAGCACAAGAAAGATTAAATTTCACTGTGCTTTGCTCTAAGTGGCAGTTTCTTCTCTGCTGCGTTTTCCTGCCACTGTAAAGATATAAAGACATTCGCATTGTCAAATTATTAATATTACCAAGACTAGTTTACACATTGGAATTACAAACCTTTATCCTTGTGTAGCCATCAAGGTTTCTGAAACTTTTCTCAGAAAAACATAGCCAGTTAAGTAAGAGAGTTCAAAAATCAATCTTAATAATATTAATCATTTCAGATATATACAAATTTACAGTGAACTCCCTGAGTTTTCTCACTTACAACTAAGTCTTTGCTCTCTCTCACTACAAAAACAACAACAACAACAACAAAAAAACCTGAGTGGAATTGCTGTTGTTTAAAACACTAGCCCTTATATTGTGTTTTAATCACTGCAGAGAAGAAACAAGTGCATCTGTCAGCTCCAAAATCTAAAAAGCCACAAAGTGGTTTGTTTGTTCTTCAAATTTTTCCTTCAGTACATTTAGGATGTCATTCATAACCACTCTGATATCTGCCAAACTTGGCAACAGAATCCCCTCAGTGAATACTTATTTAAAAAGTAAAAGCAAAATCTTAACCAGGTAATTGACAAACTTTCTATTCCTTACCATTTTTAAAAACAGAAACCAAATAGACTCATCTCACATTAGCAAGCCCTAAAACACAAAGAACAAGCTACAAACAATGAAAGGGTCTGCAACCTGTCACATTTATAAAACACAGGTCCAAAATTCACTCGTCTTTTAGCCAGACCCACAGTATTCTATTGGTGACACAATTTCTCAAGCAAGTCAAAAAGTCCTTAGTTACCAGACATATGATTACTAGAGGAAGGACATGTTCTATTAATAATAGTTTCTAACCTACATATTTAAAAGAAAAAAGAAAATAAAACCTCCCAGGCCGTTATTTCAAATGTTTGCATAAGCTAATAAACTGTGGAGAAAAGTAACAAGATATTATTTAAACATTTAAATAATCACTTGCGCATTAAAAACAAACAAAAACAAAAACAAAAAACCCAGCATGGGAACTTCTACTTTCCCAGTAACCTTACTACATATACATGTGTATATATACATACACTCACTCCTTTAGGATCTACTTCCACAGGACAACCGTAAATTATCATTCCTTTACCTGCTCCCAGAAGGCTCCTAAGGCTAATACCATTGATCCCATTTAGACACTGGATGTTAACCAGGATAACAGTCCACACTTATTCCTTGTGTTACCTCACTGAGAGGGGTCTGTCAGCCAGGCCCCAGGGAAACTCCTACAGGAGCCCATGTTGTATTCATCTTTGTATGCACAGTGCTAGGATCTGCAAAATGTTCTGCACAAAGTGGGCACTAAACAAGAAATGCCGAATGTTAAAAAAATATATAGATGCACTTAGGAAAAGATCCATAGGATTCCAGCACACAATATACAAATTTTCTAACTCCTAAATCTCCCAGAGTTGGGAATATTTAGCTTAGTGGCACTATGAGTCCAAAAGCTTTTGTATAACCTCTAAGAAAACAGATCTGTGGCTCAATTTTTTTCATCTGAACAATAAGGGTAATAAAAACACCTGGCTCATAGGGTTCTGAAAGGATTAAAGAACTTGGTAAACGTAAAGTCTCCTTACATCAGTGAATAGAACACCATACACACAACTTAAGGATTAGCTACTGATATTACTAAAAAAGCCTATTATAATAAAAGTAAGGCCCACGCAGCCCTACAAAGGACGCCAGAGTTTAAAAGAAATTAGCTTAGAAGAGAGAAGTTCACCGGCTGGCACACATCTTCTGTAAAGGGCCGGATACTACTGTAAATGTTTTAGGGTTTAGGGTTTAAACCAGACGCAGTTTCCTCGACCCTTGGAGCAACTATTCGGACTGAAAAGCTAACAGGGTTTTTGTTTGTTTACATTTTATAATTTTAAAACTTAAGAATCATTCTTAGTTCATGGGTCCGTACAAAATCAGGCTGGATTTGTCCTCTGGGTTCTAGTTTGCCAACCCCTAAATAAGACGACGACGATAACACAGTGTTTTTTAAAGGCAACATAAAGAAATGTTTGTGAGGTGATTCAAGTTGACTGAAGAACGTGCTGCCCCAAACTTCTAGAATCCAGACAGGCAGGACTGGCGTGGCGGGGAATCGGGCCAAGGCCTCGGGAGTCAGCAACGACCGCCCCGCGGCTCTCGAGGTCCGCGAGCCCCTCCCACACTTACTCCCAGCAGCGGCCCGCGGCCGATCACCGTCTCCCCGGGCGCCAGGGCCACCCGGGGGCCCCCGTCCTGCGGCTGCAGCTCGAAGCCCCCGGACATCGCGGGCGAAGATTAGGCCCCTTCACAGGGAGACGGCCCCCGCAGCCGTTTCCGCCTTCCACAGACACCCGCGGAGCCTGCCCAGGCCCCGGGAAAAACACGCGGGAAGCAGGGAGCGAGGGCTCCTCTCCGCAGTGCCCAGTCCTGGCCTCCGGAGTCCCGCCCCCTCTGCCCAGCCTAGTGACGCGGTCGGGGATTCCCCCTTTACACCGCCTCAAAGTTAGTTTTAAACCCCTCCCCCATCCCCCCTCCCACCGCTCACACGCTTTGGGGGACGCCGGACCTTGTAGTCCCTGGAGCCTTCCTTCCCCGCCTTTCCCGAGCTTAGCCGCCCAGAGGAAACTACCGATCCCAGAAGGCAGTGCGCCCGTGCGCCTGCGTGGGTTTGCGTAAGTAAGGCGGGGCTAGAGTGGCCGCGGGGTGGGGAAGGGCTAGAGTTGCCGCGGGGCGGGGGGGAGTGTACGTAATGCTAAAGGGTTCGAATTTCGGAATATTTAAGTAGCGAAACGAAAAGCCATCACGGCCGGCCCACTTGGTAGGAGGATCTTCCGTTTTCGAAAGGGTAGGTTTCAGCGCTCGCAGGCTAGCAGATGTGGGCTGGGCGCAAGCACAGCCTCCACTCGGCAGCCTGGAGCTGCGGTGACAGTCGGTGCTGAAGGTTTTCATTGTTGTTTACTTGTCACTGCCTCGTGTCCTGGGGACTAAAGCATCTGCAGCCTGAGTGGGGCAAACTAGGAGGGTGGTTCAGACGGGACGTGGGGTAGTTACCCGCGACTTGCGGGGTCCGGGCGGGGTGCCGCCCACCCAGCTCCTCCCGATCCCTCTCTCCCAGTAACAGTTGAAAGGGGAACCAGCTCTTACCTAACTGGAGAGGTAATTCAGCAAAGCTCGGTTCATAAAGGAGAAAGGGCAGAAGAGGGGTAGTTTTCAGGAGACAAAACTGGACTTAGACGCAAGATTCCTAGTGAAATTCTAAGAAGCTCCCCAGGATATGTCCTGGTAAATTCAAAAGCCTTGATTTACCTCCTGTGGAATTCCTGTAGCGAGATGAAGCATTTTATTCCACCAGTGAGATCCTGGGAGAAGTAGCAAATATTAAATACACTGTAACATTCTCCTAATAACATAGTGGTTTAGCTTTAGTTTGTTTTCTATCGACGGTGGGAGGAGCCAATGTATGTGGGGAAAACTTGCTCTTGACTTCATACTTTTGTTTTTACTAGTTTACTTTCTTACTTCCCCAGAGCCTCAAGAGGAAATCCTCTATTAAACAGAGACATTATAATTCAAACCACCATCGCTAATTTGGATCAAAAACACCCTAATGGATGGGAGCAACCGTGGTCTTGGCAAACCCAGAAGCATGGCTGAGTAGCGCATTTAGAAAAGGGAATTGTTACTAGCTGAGTAAAAGAGGTATTTAGCTGTATCTTAAACTCCTCCTGTACAGCCAACCCCTATTATAAAAGGAAGTGCAAAATGGAATAAAGTGATTTTAAGTAAATATGAGATGTCTTTATCTGTAAAAGTAGCTCAAGGGTGGTGGTGTACCCAGGCATGCTTTCTACTGATTGTGAAAGCCCACACAATTCACCTTAGGTAAATTAACAAACTGGGCTTTAAATCTTGAGTCACATGCTATACCTAGCTGAGTTATAACCATTGTTTATAGTTGCTACTAATTGTTGCTTGATGGCCGTTGTGACTGTTATCTTTGACTCAAAATTAACTATGCATGTAGGATAGCTTCAAGGGGCCATTTCTAAAACACTAATCTTAGAATTGAATTTAATAGTTGAGACTTTGTCTCATAACCCATATCTTATCCTCTTGTCCATTTCAGGTAGTATTTGTGTCAAATGTGAGCACCTACCCATTAAGTACAAGTAGATAAACAATTCTTGTATAAACAATTAAAAGTCCAGCAGCTTTATGATTAAGTCACAAATTGCAGGTGAAGAACTTAATGACAAGGCTTCAGTTCCCACACATAACAAGTATTCAGAAATTTAATAGGATTGACTCATATACATTGTCAAAAGTACTTTCAATAAATACTTGCATGTGTTCTCACAGTAGTTGTTGATACTACTAAACTCAATAAATATGGTCTGATGTGGAGAATCATTTCTCTTTTTAGATAATGTTCTTTGGGAGAAACCCCAAATATTTAGTGACAAACCCATTTACTTAAAACATTTAAAAAGAAGAGAAATACCATGTGTTGAGCACCCCTCATGTGCAATTCAGATGTAGCAGAGCTAGCTGTTTTACACATCATCCCTGTTAATCCTTGCAAGAGGGGAGCAGCATTGGCCCATTTTACAGAGGAAGAATAAGTTAAAGTTCTTTAAATCATATCCCCGAAATATCTGACTCAAAGTAGGATTTATTGTCTGATTTGAAAAGACTGAGTATGTTTAAATTTTGCCTTTTAGATTACATATGAGGACAATTTACTAAAACATCAAGCTATGCCGAAAAACTCCAAGAAGAACAATAATTCAAGAGTTTCTGGCATAGAATTAAACTCTGTGGATGCTAAGAAGAAAAAACATGAGAGTCAAAACAACTTTGTTGAAATGCTGCCTCGAGAAATCACCATACAAATTTTCAGTGTGCTAGACCTTGGGAGTTTGTGCACGGCTTTATTGGTATGCAAGAGCTGGTATGATGTAATAAAAAACAGTGACTCCTGCCTATGGAAACCTCAGTGCTTGATTATAAGAGCTGTGTGCCCAAGAGACATAGATAACGATCTAAAAAGTGGTTTTTCCTGGAGGGTAAGTTTAATCTTTGCAGTCTGTGGTGTTTCTGATGGTGCTGTGTTAGCAGATTTGAGCCAATGCTAACTTCTGCTTGGAGGAGATAGGATTGCATATGCAGAAAAACATACAGAGCGTGTTGACTTTTGGAAATAAAGTTTAGTTATTAGTCTTTTCCTGCTAACCACGCTATTTCCACACTATGATTCATCCTTCTGAATTTTTTAAATTCTAAATTCAGGAACTTTTCTCTTAGGAAATTGACTACTTCTTTTCACTGCACTTTGTCCAAGATCTTCAGTGAACTCTGTGGCTCATCCTGCATACATACACACACAAATTTATTAATATATTTGTAATCAATGTAAATACCTAATCTTTTTTAACCTATCAGTCAGCTTCTCTAGTTTTAAATGAACTCACTAACCAACCACCCACTACAATCTTTTTTAATGATTCTGATTTACTCCTTTCAGGTAACACTGGAGAGAAATTACTGGAAGAGTAAAGTGAAACATGAATGGCTAAGTGGCAAATACAGTAACATATGTTCTTCCATTAGCCTACCAGAAAAAAGTATGTACCCAATGGATGCAGATACATGGGGAGAAATTCTAGAAGCAGAACTGGAAAGATAAGCAGAAAAATCGCAAACAGTAAGGTTTGTGATTTCAAGCACCTCCCATGTGCAACTGAAACAGTAACTCAAATGATACAATTCGATCCAGCAATCCCACTACTGAGCATCCATCTACCCAAAGGAAAAAGGTCATTTTACAAAAAAAGCACCTGGACCCAAATGTTTATCGCAGCACAATTCACAATTATAAAAATATGGAATCAACCTAAGTGCCCATTAACTGACAAGTGGATAAAGTAAATGTGGTATATACATACCATGGAGTAATACTCAGCCATTAAAAGGAATGAAATAAAGTCTTTTGCAGCAACTTGGATGGAACTAGAAACCATGATTCTAAATGATGTATATCTGGAATAAAAAACAAATACTGTATGTTCTCACTTATAAGTGGGAGCTAGATGAAAGGTATGTATGTCAGAAAGTGGTGTAATGGACATTGAAAACTAAGACAAGGGTAGGCTGGGAGCCACTGAGGGACAAAAATCTACCTTTGGGGATGCAGTGTGCCATTCTGGTGACAGATACACTAAGAGCCCAGACTTTAGTATTATACAATTCTTTCATGTTACAAAAAACACTTTTACCCCCCCCAATCTATTGAAGTAAAAATAATCTGTCCAATTTTGTTTTGAATATGGAGATACTCTAAAAATAAAGTCTGTTTTAAATAAATAAGTAAAACTCAAATGACTCTTAGGTTGCAAAAGGTGTATCTTCATTTTGTTGTTCACCTTTTTCATATTTAACATTTAAAAGAAAATGAAGTAAAAAATGTAAAAGTAAAGCTTTATTTTTATTTTGCACTTTATTAAAATATATTTTTATGGTTTTATTGTAATGTGGAAAATAATGAAATGTTATTTTTATAAGAAATAATATACTGATAGTGTCATTTCAAGATGTATTGTTTCTTGTATTTGTATATTGCGGTACTTTAAATGACGGATTTGATTGATATTTTCAGCTTAATAATTTAAAAATTCAGGAAGCCACTTGAGGAAACTAACTTAAAGATTCACTAGGTAACAGACAACTACACTCATAGGAAGACTAGCTAAGTGAAATTAATAGCAATGAGTTTAAATGAATAATACATTTGCATTTCAATAACTTAAAATTTTCCATTTCAGTGGAATCAGATTGAATTGTCTAGTGGTGAAACTATTTTAAAATGTGTTAAACCTGTGGTTTAATTTACAATTACTCTGATTATAGGGCTAAAACTTGTCAAATTAAGATTCCCATTACTTTCCTACAAACCTGTAATTGCTCTCAGGGGCAGAAAATGTGTGAAAAGTTTCCACAATTCTTAACTACCATCAGAACTGCCACATTATTCATCTTGGTAAAACTTTCCTCTGACAGCTTTATGGCACCATCTAGTGTACTATTCATACATACAAAGAACGTCCAACTCCTTTTGTTTGTTTTCTCCATATTTAAAAGAAAGAAAACTATTATTCTAGAGAACCCTTAATACTTGACTTCATTCAAGTTTATAACTTGTCAGGAAACTTTAATGTTTGTTTCTCATTTTCATAAAAGTAGATGATGTAGTACTCACTGTACTAGAATGTTTATTCTGAATCTGTGGTCATCATCATAATAAAAAATGTCTACAAACCTTTTTCTTCTCGAAGTCTGCTCTATAGCATGAAAAATAAGAATCTGGGAAATCAGTATTTAACAAATAGACAAATATTAGAAAGATGATCCACTATATACAAATTCCCTTTGTTGAATCAAGCAGTTGATAAGTGATTGTCTCCTACTATTTCCTTACAGTTGGAAGAGGCCTTGAAAATCAGGCAGTCCAGTCTCTGGAATTATTTGTTAATTTCCTCTATATGAACACTGACAATTAACCAGCCCAAACTCAAATACTATGCTTCCAGTGATAGGATCTCTATTATGTCATAAGAGTCCTATTGTATTTTAGGATTGCTCTGATTATTAGAAATTCTTCGTCATTGAACTGAAGACCGCCTCTTTGTAACATTTGCCTACGAGTCCTGGTTCCACCCTCTAAAACTAGACTGATTCGGATCTCTATAATTGCCATTCAAATATGTAAAGACTGCTAGTCTGACTGTTTCTAAATCTTCTCTCCAATTCCTCTACTAATCATAGAGTTTTATTTCTAGACTCAACACCATTCACTTCTGTCTATGCGGTCTTAACAAAAGGAAGGTATCCTACTAATTTTATTTCGTAAGAGATGATATAAAAGCACTTTGAACTTTTGGAAGTAAAGGGAAAATTAAAGCTATAAGTATTTTACTGACTAGCATCTGTGTACAATAGCATATTTTTATTTGTTTTTGTAATGGTGTGGATTATCTTTGTCTAACCCTCTTCATCTGTTAATAGAGGTCATCCTAATTAGGGAGAATCACCCTTCTCACTTCTTCCTCACGTGGGGTTTTTACACTATCTCCTCTTTCCCAACCTCTGTGTTTAGTCCCGGGATGCAAACATGACCCAAACCACTCTCTTGCTGAAGCAGGAAGAGAGAAGTCCTCTCCTCTTTGGTGATGAAACTGTTCCCTACCGCACAAAGAAAACAACTCCTCAGATAGAGAATGTGGAGCCAACAGGAGAGAGAAACAGTTGCAGAGGAGGCCTTACTGTATTCAAGACCCTGGCTCCAGCCATTCCCAGTCTGCTCACGTAAACGAATTCAAATTTAGTGTCCAGCCTCACACTGGGAGCCCTACCTGATATGATTCTTGAAGCTGGGATTGCTACTATAATCTCTTAATTAAAGTTCCTGACTCCAGATCCTTCCTCTTACTTTTAGCAATGTAATCTTTCTAAAACTCCCAAATTATTATTGTCACCCCTAACTTAAATTTCTTACTACATTCAGGTAGAAATAAAAGTTACCTTGTAAGGCCTATAGGTCCTTTAATGATGTGGTCTTCCTGCCTCTCTACCCTCTTCTCTCACAACTGTACCATGCTGTAACTCACCAGGGTCCACCTTCATGGAAGACAATCTTTCCATGGATAGGGAGGAGGGGATCCTGGGATAACCCAAGCACACATTTATTGTGCAGTCTAACCTCTCGGCCAATGACAATATGCACTTGGAGCTGCTCCCCAGCACCAGCACCACCACCCCAGTTCATCCTAGATCATCAGGCACCAGACTTTCTTAAGGAGAGTGCAACCTAGATCCCTGGCACACACAGTCCACAGTTGGGCTTGCACTCCTATGAGAATTCAGTGCTACCATTTGTTGTTGTTGGGCTTTTTGATAAAAGCTATTTACACTGGAAATAAGTGATATCTCATTGTGGTTTTGATTTGTTTCATTTCCCTGATGATTAGAGATGTTGAGCATTTTTTCATATGTTTGTTGGCTATTAGTCTCTATCTTCTTTTGAAAAGTTTCTGTTCATGTCTTTTGCCCACTTTTTAATGAGGTCATTAGATTTTTTCTTGCTGATTTGCTTGAGTTCTTTATAGATTCTCGTTATCAGCCCTTTATTGGATGTGTAGCATGTGAATATTTTCTCCTATTCTGTAGATTGTCTATTCACTCTAATGATTATTTCCTCAGCTGTGCAGAAGTTTTTTAATTTGATCAGGCCCATTTATTTATTTTTGTTGTTGCTGTGATTGTTTTGGGGCTCTTCTTCATAAATTCTTTGCCTAGACCGATATCTATAAGGGTTTTTCCAACATTTTCTTCTAGAATTCTTATGGTTTCATGCCTTAGGTTAAGTCTATTATTCATCGTGATCTGATTTTTGTGAGAGGTGAAAGGGGCGGATCTTGTTTCAGTCTTCTACATGTGGCTATCCAATTTTCCCAGCACTGTTTATTGAATAGAGATACTTTTCCCCAGTGTATGTTTTTTGTCTGCTTTGTCAAAAATCATTTGGCAATATGTGGATGGTTTTATATCTGAGTTCTCTGTTCTGATCCATTGGTCTGTGTCTCTGTTCTTGTGATAATACCATGCTGTTTTGGTTACTATAGGGTTGTAGTATAGCTTGAAGTCAGGTAAATTGATGCCTCCCAATTTGTTCTTTTTGCTTAAGGTTGCTTTGGCTATACAGGGCCTTCTCTGGTTCCATATCAAGCACAGAATTATTTTTTCTATGTCTGTGAAAAATGATGTTGGCATTTTAATAGGTATTGCATTGAATCTGTAGATCACTATGGGCAGTATAGACATTTGGAGAGATAGGAACACTCATACACTGCTGGTGGGACTGCAAACTAGTACAACCTCTGTGGAAAGCAATATGGAGATACCTTAAAGAACTAAAAGTAGAACTACTATTTGATCCAGCAATCCCACTACTGGGTATTTACCCAAAGGATGAAAAAGACACCTACACTTGTATGTTTATAGCAGTATAATTCACAATTGCAAAGATGTGGAAACAACCCAAGTGCCTATCAACACATGAGTGGATTAAGAAAATGTGATATATGTATACCATGGAGCCATAAAAAAAATGGTGAACTAATAATACCTCTTGTATTAACCTAGTTGGAACTGGAAACTATTCTTCTAAATGAAATATCACAAGAATGGAAAAACAAACACCACATATATTCACCATTAAATTGGAAATAATCACTCAACACCTATGTGCACATACGGAAACTGACATTGATTGGAAATCAGGTGGTGGGGGAGGAGCAGTTGGGTAAAATCACACCGAGCGGGTGTAATGCACACTATATGGGGGATGGGCACTGTACAAAAGCAATTTATGTAACCAAATCTTTTGTGTCCCTATAATATTCTGAAAAATATTTTTTAAAAAAGAATTCGTGTGTTCTTGTCATGGCTCTGCCATTTGATTTCTCTGAATCTCATTTCAGCAGCAACAAATGTGAAAGACGAAAGTGAACTTTTGTTTTACATTTAAAAAAATGAATCCAATGCCACCCCTGGTTTGACAGGAGGCAGAGCCCACGCAATGATGCCAATGATGGTGAGTGACACAAACACAAATGAAGCCTTGCTAGCCTTCCCACCAACCACCTCCCACCCTGTGCCTGGCCCTGAACAGGGGTTGGGGACCTTAGTATAACTTTGAGTTCAATCATACCAAATTATTTGCAGTTCCTTGAACATGAAAATTCTCTTACTTCTTGGCCTTTGTTTCATAAACTCAGAATGTTCTTCCTTTTACACACCATTAATTCTTTTCTTGGCAAAATCTTTTGTAAAACTCACCATCTTGGCCTGGAAATTATCCCTGACTACTACCGTTCTGGATTAAGTGATCCTGTTAAGGTTTCTGTAGTTCTTTGTGCACACCTCTCTCAAAGTTGTCATACTATGACAAATTGTCTATTTGATTTATCTGTCTGCCCCCTTTAGACTATGAACTTCTTAATGGCAGGGACCATTTTTTATTTATTTTTGTGTTCTCAAAACCTAGCATATAGTAGGTGCTATATAAAGATTTATTCAATTATTCCTATAATTATTTATTTCAATCCTACCCAGAAGATATAAAAATAATTTACTATATTGTTAGTGACATTGTTTTAAAACGCAAGGTACAATCCTTAAGATATATGGGATGCTTGATATTAATGCAAATATATGAATAATCATTCTAGACCTCTCCAAAGCTGTAAGAGGGAAATATGAAAGTAGAAGGGAGGAGTGCTCTTACTCATAGATAAAGTAACATGTTAGGTAGGCACTATGCAAAGAAGCAAAATTATTGGGAAAGAGTATTGAGAAATAACTTATAGTATTTTAAAATTTTCAATTAGTCTAAGATCTGGTGTTTAAAAAAAAACAAATTTAGAAGCTTTTCTTTAGTTCATTCTAGTATAATATATGACTCAATCATAGAGCAGGACTTAAATATCAGTAAAATCTAATGGATATAAACTTTAGACCTTGAGATACTTGCATATATGTAAGCTTAATTTGACAGTATAACATATTCCTGACCAATTTAATTTCATCTTTGCTTTGACTTTATGTCATATTTTCTTTTTAAGGCTTCAAATGCCCTATTAATCACTTCAGTACCAGCATTGACTATAGTCGATAGCCACAGATGAATGCACAGCGACTTTAACCAAGAGCCATGATTATGGCTTTTCTAATTTTTCATTTATCAAAATAAAATTGCGAACATTTAAAAACAACGTAATGAAAACATATATGTTTATGTTACCTATTCTGACTGACATTACAAGTAAAGCTGCCTATAAAGTAAAACAAGCTTTCAGTGCTCTAAAGCTTTCCTCATCACACAAGAGCAAAACGGATTTGTTGTCAAGGCACAGCACAAACTATCTTGCAGACTATGAGTGCCGGTGAGCCCCATACCGAAGTGGTTAATATTAACAGAAATAAAAGGGATAGTAACATCAGGAAATGGATGGAGAAGAATAATACATAAGATGGAAGATCACATATTTTTATTTAAAGTAAAGTTGAAAGACCAAAAACATCAAATGGATGAAAATGGATCAACAATAGACAAAGCTGAACAAGGCCAACAATCATTGAGTACCTACTGGCACGCAGCATTGTGCTATATGGTGGGTGCACTTACTCTATCTCCACTTTCTGGATGAGGAAGCTGATAGAGAATGATCCAGTTAATCTAGTTCATCATCACTTCCCAGCACCTATAAAAGTATGTAATACATAGCTGATGTTCAATAAACGTTTATTGAATGAATTTTAAAACTTAGAATGAAGAACTCAGATGGAAGGGCCAAGAACGTTCCTCTAAGTTTTTATTTAGAAAAATGTCAAATCCACAGAAAAGTAAAAATATGTGTCAAACAAGTCTTTCATACACTATTCACCTAGATTTGCAAGTTAACATGTTTCTACATTTGTTTTATTTATTGTATATTTTTGCTGAAACATTTGAAAAAAAGTTGCAGACATGATGATACTTCACTCGTACATATGTCAGCATACATCTCCTAAGAATAAATATACTCTTCTGTATGCAATATCTTTATCATATCTAAAATATTTTATATTAATTCGATAATATGTAATTTATAATCCAAATTTAAATTCCCTAGTCACCCCCAAAGTATCTTTTATAGTTTTTTTTTCAAGATCCAAACAAGGTTTACATACACATCTGTTTTTTTATGTCTCTTTAATCTCTTTTAACTGGAAGTGTCCCCCTGCCTTTGGTTTTGTTTTTTAGCATATTCACTTGTTTTTAAGGATTGAGATTGGTTATCTTATAAAATATTCTGTAATTGATTTGTCTGATTCTCTCTTCATGATTTAATTGAAGTAAAATATAAATCTGGCCATTATACTACATAGCAATTATTGAAGTAAAATATATATCTGGCGATTATACTACATAGCAATTATACTATAAGTGGTATAATATACTTCTCATTGCATCACATAAGAAGTATATAATGTCTGATTGTTCTACTCAACAAGATGGTAAGTCTGATCATTTGGTTGAGGCGGTAATCACCAAATCTCTCTACGTAAAGGGACAATTTTCTGTAAAGCCAATATTTCTTTTTTAACAACCCATTTCTAGAGTACTCCCCTAAGGCCAACTCTATGCTAAATGCTTTATAAATATTATCTGACACACAGCTAGTTTGTTCCTCAAGACATTTGCCAAATTCCAAAGCTCTGCAGGTCAGGAAGTTAAGAAGCTAAGCAGAGAGACTCTGAGAAGCAAAGTGGAGTTTTTGCACAGTCTCATGCCATTGAGGACAAAATGATTAGGGTTGAGGACCCTGTAGAGGGAAGGGACCTGGTAAACAACCCAGGTTCTCAGTTGAAATCTTTGGTGGGCTCCATCTGAAGGAGCTCCAGCCTCAAATCAGCTACATCCCTGATTGGATGAAGGTGAGCAAACCGTACTGATAGGGCGCATTCTCTCCAGCGGATGACATCATCTGGACCCTCCATCATTTTTCATATACAATGTCTGCATTCAGTTGAAAAATTATCAGGCATGCTAAAAGAAAGAACTAAATGATTGAAAGTCACAAGAAAAAACAGACAATAGAACCAAAGTCACAGGGATTGGTTAGTGGAGTTTGAAGACAAGGATTTTTAAGCGACCATAATTAAAAAGTCCAGGCAAATGGAGGCAAAGATGAAGGAAGTAGATTAATATGGAGACTTTTACCAAAACTATAGAACTAAATGGAAATTCCAGAACTAAAAAATATAGTAACAGAAATTAAAACAGGCCAGTGAGAATGGCCTTTATCAAAAAGTCCCCAAGCAACAAATGCTGACCTGGATGTCGAGAGATTGGAACTCTCTTACAGTGCTGGTGGGACTGCAAATTAGTACAACCCCTGTGGAAAGTAATTTGGGGATACCTCAAAGAGCTAAAAATAGAAATACCATTTGATCCAGCAATCCCACTACTAGGCATATACCCAAAGGAAAAAAAAAGACATTCTATAATAAAGACATCTGCACTCGAATGTTTATAGCAGCACAATTCACAATTGCAAAGATGTGGAAATAACCCAAGTGCTCCTCAATACGAGTGGATTAAGAAAATGTGGTTTAAAAATATGAGTGGTTTAAGAATAAGAGTGGATTAAGAATATGTATACCATGGAACACTACTCAACTACAAAAAACAATGGTGAACTAGCACTGCTTATATTATCCTGGGTAGAGATTGACCCCATCCTTTGAAGTGAGGTATCACAAGGATGGAAAAATATGTACCACACGTACTCGCCATCAAGTTGGTACTAACTGATCAACACTAAGATGTTCACATGGTAGTAATACTTATTGGGTGCCAATTAGGTTGGGGTAAACCCACAACTAATGGAAGCAGAGCATACTGTATGGGGGAGGGACACACTTGTAGCCTGGCTTAGGCAAGGCAAACGCATTACATGTAACCAAAATGTTTGTAACTCCATAATATCCTGAATTAAAAAAAATAAAAGAAAGAAATTAAAACAATACATAGATTTAATAGCCAATTAGAACACTGCAAAAAGAACAGGTGTGAACTACTGGGAAATACTGGGAACTACTGGGAAATAAACAATAGAACAATGCTAAAGCTGAAACACAATGAGAAAAAACAAATTTGAAAAGTCATTTAGAGATTATGAGACAGACTCCAAAGGTTCAACATATTCACAGTGGACTTTCAGAAAGGGTGGAGAGAGAAAGGTAGCCCTCAAGTTTCCCTCAGCTCGGTGGGACACAGGAGATCTGAAGAAGTTCCCATGCCCCATGAGAGGGCTGTAGAAGTAGCTGAGAAACAAGACAGAGGGTCTGCAAAGCAGAAGCCATGGAATCGACAGCCTAAACCAGGAGCCAAACAGAGGATGCTGCAGAGTCTTTAGAGCAACAGTAGCAACAGTGAGATTTGAGGTGGGCTACAGTCAGCCCTGAGAAGACACCACCTCCTGAGTCCTGATTGTGCCAGAAGAAAACACTGCAAATTATGGTGACAAAGGGTACAGTGGGAGGAGAGGCTATGTCCAAAGTGCAAAGAGAGCTCTCAGGAAAGGCTGTTGGGAATGGAAGACAGCATGTGGCTGGAGGGCTCACCCCATGCCATGCAGTTACCTCAGCTTCCTGCTCTACCTGGCTGCCAGGAAAAGGGAAGGAAGAACATGTTGCCAAGCTTAGCAAATAAAATTTAGGAGTTTCAGATAAACAACAAATCATTTTTTAGCATGATATGTCCTAAATGTTGCAATGGACATACTCACATTAAAAAATTATTTGTTTTTTATCTGAAATTTAAATTTAACTGGGTGTCTTGTATTTTTCCTGACAATCCTAACCCTGAAAGCCTGAGTAAGGTGCTGAGCCTGAGTTAACATGGAAAGGACTGGATTTCATCAGTCATTTCCATTTATCTGTGGGTTTACATCTGCAGATTCAACCAATTATATGGATGGGAAAAAATGGGGGATAAAAACAAGAAAAAATAACAATACAACAATAAAAAATAATGCAAATAAAAAA